AGGGGCGAGGTACGCCCTGATGATGCTGACCGACGAACAGAAGAAGCTCGGCGTGGTCTCGGCCTCGTGCGGTAACCACGCCGCGGCAATCTCTTATCACGGATACAAGCTCGGCATACCTGTGACCGTGGTGATGCCCGTGATTGCGCCTGTCATCAAGATCATCGCCTGTCGCCAATACGGCGCGAACGTGATCATCCATGGCCCCGATATGGAAGAGGCGAGGCGTACCGCGCTCAGAACGGGCAAGGAGAAAGGGATGGTGTACATAAATGGGTAGGGATGCACTTCTACCTAGCGACATTTTCTCGTGCCGCTGAACAGTTAAAGAAATGTAAAATTTTCGAATAAAATTATTTCGAACGTTTGCTACAATCTACAATCGTTTCTGGTTACGATAAATTCTTCAAAGATGAATTATACTCAATATTTTGGCTATCACTTTTTCTGGATAAGAAAAAGAGAATTTGAGGAAAATTTTTTCCACCGTTTTTAAATTATTCCTTTTATTCCTGTTTTTTCTCTATTCACGTTTCTTCAGATACGATCACCCGGACATTGTGGCGGGACAAGGGACGCTCGGGCTCGAGATCGTGGAACAGGTGCCCAACATAGACGCTGTGGTGATTCCGATCGGAGGGGGTGGCTTGATCGCGGGCGTAGCGCTTGCGGTGAAAAGCCTTCATCCCGGTGTGATGATTGTCGTGAGCGAATATATATTTTCCCTACTTTTTCTTTCCTTCTTCGAGATCGAGGAATGAATGATATCGCTTTTTTCCTTCTTCCCAATTCCTTCGGCCAATTTTCGCAGGGCGTTGAGTCGGAAATGTGTCCAAGTTTCTACAAGGCAAGGAAAGCGGGTCGACCGACGTACACACCCACAGGTCCGACACTGGCCGAGGGCCTTGCCGTCCCCGTGGTTGGATACAACGCCTTTGCGACCGCGAATCCGTTGATCGACAAAGTGGTGGTGGTGAGGGAGGATTGGATCGCCGTCGCGATCTTGAAACTGCTCGAGGACGAGAAGTGTATCGTCGAGGGCGCCGGTGCTATTGGCTTGGCCGCCATCTTGGCTGGTCAGCTGGAAGAATTGAAAGGAAAAAGGTTGCTTAATATTCTTTTTCTTATCTAATCAAACAAAATCTTGTCCCTATCTTCCCTCATATATTTTATATTCAATACTTCCTTCACTTTTAATGCTACCAACACGAAAATATAGAAATATAACGTAGAATAATACATGAGAATCGATCCTTTTACGAGAAGTTAAATTAAACTAAGTGAACTTGTATCTCATTAGGTTAAACTGTTCGTCCTCATAAATTCACGTTGAATATCATACTGAAAACTTGGCTGTTATTATAGTTTTTTTCTTTTTTCTTTACACTTAGCACAACTCTGTTCAATATTTGGTATTGTCAGTACAAGATTGTCAAAGGGATGGTAACAGCGCGGCCCTTTGATTTCCGTTTTGTAGAGTGGTGCTGCCTCTGTCCGGCGGAAACATCGGCACGATGGTCCTCGTCAGGTGTTTGGAACGGGGATTGGCGGTGGAAGGCCGGCTTTTGAAGTTCACAGTGACCGTATCCGATCGACCGGACGAAATCGCGGAGCTTTGCAGAATGCTGGCGAGCATGGATGCCTCGATAAAGGACATCATGTACGAGCGGAGTTGGATCATGACGGACTTCTTCAGCGTGGACGTGAGAGTGGTCTGCGAGACCAGGAATCGGGAACAAACGGAACAATTGAAGAAGATGCTGTATCAGAAATATCAGAAGATTACGTTCGCCCCTAGCGACGTGGCAGCTCTGACTCCGCATTAAGCGTGTTACTCGCCGTCTCTCGGCTCCGAAACTTCTGATGATTAGGACGAGATTCGAGAATTTGAATCATCCCAGAATCGATGGATCGCGGGCCTTGCGATCGAGGAAAACGATTTTTCTTTCGATCAGATATTTATTTGATATTTTATTATAAAAATACGGAGGTTACTATTAGAGGGCACAGCGTTTGATTATTGGGAACAATTCGAGATCGCTTTGAACATCTCAGAATCGATGAATGCGATCGAAGAAAACGATCTTTTCCTTTTCAGATATGTACATAATATTTTATAAAAATACGGAAGTTAGTGGATACAGTGTTTGATTTTTGAGAACAATTCGAGATCGCTTTGAACATCTCAGAATTGATAGATGCGATCGAAGAAAACGATTTTTCCTTTTCTTTCGATCGGATATTTATATATCTATTAGAAATACAAAAATTATAATTAAGAGAGAAAATTATAATTAAGAGAGAGTACCAAGTTTGATTTTTGGAAATAATTCGAGATCGCTTTGAACATCCCAAAATCGATGGATGCGATCGAAGAAAACGATCTTTCGATCGGTTATTTATATACTTATCGTAAAATTTATTATTAAGTGAGAGTATAGAGTTCAATTTTTAGGAACAATTTGAGATCGCCCTTAAACATCCTAGAATCGATGGATGCGATCGAAGAAAACGATCTTTCCCTTTTCGATCAGATATATTACGTAATATTTTATAAAAATACGGAAATTATTGGATACAGCGTTTGATTATTGGGAGCAATTCGAGATCGCTTTGAACATCCCAAAATCGATGAATGCGATCGAAGAAAACGATTTTTCCTTTTCTTTCGATCGGATATTTATATATCTATTGTAGAAATACAAAAATTATAATTAAGAGAGAGTATAGCGTTTGATTATTGGGAACAATTGAAGATCGTTTTGAACTAGAATCGATCGAAGAAAACGATCGATTTTTCCCTTTCGATCGGATATTTATATATCTATTGTAGAAATACAAAAATTATAATTAAGAGAAAGTATAGCGTTTGATTATTGGGAACAATTGAAGATCGCTTTGAACATCCCAAAATCGATGAATGCGATCGCAGAAAACGATTTGTCTCTTTCGATTATTTATACCTATCATAAAATTTATTATTAAGAATATAGAATTGAATTTTTAGGAACAATTTGAGATCGTCTTTAAACATCCTAGAATCGATGGATGCGATCGATCTTTTCCTTTCGATCAGATATTTACTTGATATTTTATTATAAAGAAAACGGAAGTTACTTTTAAAGGACACAGCATTTGATTTTTATAAATTGAAATCACTTTGAATATTACGGAATATTGTAAATTTTTCGATCGTAGAAAACGAGTTTTCCTTCGGATCAAATATTTACGTATATCATTACAAAAATATAAATATTAAAAAGAGAAAACGCGGCGTTTGATTTTTATAAACCAAATTCATTTTGCGGAATATCGCGGAATCGATGGACGTAGAGTACTCCATCGAAGAATCTTTGGATCAAAAATTTATATACCTGTTGTAAAAATACAAGAATTACTGTCAAGAGAGACTACATCGTTTGAGTCTTACCCGATTGAAAATAATTCTCGTGCCGTAAAACAGTGGAAACCTTGGAATATTCCATCGATTTCCATTGCATTGAGTTATCGTCCTCCGAGCGGGAGAAGTTTTTACATATCGATAAGGATGGAACGGCTCGTCTCAAAAACCGAGTTGGCCGCGTTTTCAAACGAGCAATCTCCCCGCGTTATTTGCATTCGAAAGAGCGGAATTTCGAGGGCTCGAAATTCGGAACGCGTGCCGTCCATCGAGGTGTAAACGTGTACACACGCGAAATTGATTATCAGTTTCGACTTTGGTTGGGCAGAGATAGTAACGGGGGTAATTCCACCCTTTTGCAAATCGTTTTCGCAGCGTTTTACGTCGAGGGATTACGTGTTTTCATACGACTGGGTTTTCGCGTAATCGTTCGTTTACGATTTCGATAACGATGAGTCCCTTATTGCGGGATGACCGCAAATTCCACGTCGCTTCACTGCCCTTCCCCACCAATTATTCCCCGTTTTTCTAGGCGGCGATTTTGCGCTTCGTTGGCTGCGACTACGAATACGCCGTCTTACACATCTCCTTGACGAAGCATAAATCGAAAATGGGCTACCACTTCGTTCGAATGTTATTCACAGTGATAAATGCGAAAACGTGAAATTCTGAAAATAATTTAAAATGTATCGATTATTGACAGACAGGATGTGTATATTTGGAACCGGATGAGTTTCCTTTAAACTTCAACGTTCCATCGAGGACAAATTCCATTATTATTTCTTCCATCCTTAACTTAATTTCGTTTACGGAGAGAGAGAAGGGGGAATTCTTTGAGGGAGCTCGAGCGGTTTCCCCAAAGCGTGATAACATCACCCCGTTTAGAAGGAAGGGAATGTTAATATTTTTCGCTCCGAGAGTCGAGTCAATTTCAACGCGGCCCGAACGCCGAATAAAAAATGAGTTCCAACGGAGCGGGAAAATAAATTTCCCGCGTGTTTTCGGCCGAGCATTTTCCACGAGGCTGTCAGGGGATTAATGCATCTTTACGCCCGCGACTGCTCGCTTTCGTCGCGATGCAACACGCCCTGTGAATAATATATCGCACGCGTTACATCGCAAAGAATAAAAAAAAAAAAAAAACAGAAAAA